ATGTTACAAAGACAATCCATAGTGTTGAGGTCCACTTGTCTTGATATCTAGAAAGGCAAAGTCACATGACCGTTGCTAATGCAGAATAGACATGCTGTTCATCTTGTCAGTGAGGGGAATGCAGGTCTTCAATTACCACGGGGTGATTCATCTGCCCCCAGCATCCTCCACTCGGAAGGAAGCACAGCTAGCAACTGATGGGGAAGGCTTCAGTTTCAATCTACCATATGTCCTTAATCCAATCAGAGTCTTTCCAAATCCCTTGTAGCAGGATGGCAATTTGACCAATAGGCGTAACAGAAAACTGGTTACTTACTTAATCCCCTGATAGTTGATATTCGATCTATAGCTCTGAGACTAGGAGGTTAAGCAAGTTCTGGACATCGAGAAAACATCACCTTTTGCTGATTCTTTCCATTTCATGTAGATCTACTGAAATCATTATGTAGATAATGAGATTCGCTCTTGTGATAATCTGCCGTTGCATGATCTCATAGCCTCTGCTGCCATGTTTCAAGAATCTATAGCACAACCTCGTGCTCTTTTGTGACAATGCAGAAAGAGGAAATGTTTGCAGTGTAGCAGCATTTCAAGATGGATGTCCAGGTGTCTAGGACACCTGAGGACCTATTACCATACAGAAGGCCTTTAGAATGCTAATGGCTTTTATTCTGTTAGCATAACTTATTTCACGTGGAGCCGGCTGGAGAGCACTGAAAAGAGCAGCATCTATGGCAGATTGAGGAAACTGCATTTAAGATAATGAATAATTAAGGAATATAATTTTTTTATCTGTCTGCACAATAACGGATAGATAATGGTTACATTTGGGTGTAGAGAACAGAGTTCCTATGTTTCATAAACCAAATGTGTGTCAGGGTGAGCAGATAATCCATGTCAGGGAGGACACTGAGCTACTTCAGGTTTTACAAACTATTTTAGAACTGAAAGGCTCCTCTGCTTGGATAAATAGTTCAGTTCTTGTGCTTTGGTTTATTTCCTTGACTGAAGGACTCATCCTGCTGTTTGACATTAACATTTGTGACACATGCATAATTGTAGGAGACTGACCAATCAGCACACAGCAAGAACACTTAAGCAAAGAGTTGTGTCACAAACTTTTTGATCGAAATGGTAGTTTGCACACTCAAAGTGTCCTCTCTGACGTGGATTTTCTGGTCACCCCACTAGCAGTCTGTGGTGGTAAATGGACGTCAGTCGGTGATGTGCAGACGACCCTGGCGTGGGCACAGACTGCACACGGATAAAGATACTGCAGAAAGCCTTATCAGCACGAGGACAATGAGGGAGCTGGAATTCAGTGTGGCGTCCTGAAAGAGCAGCTCTGTGTGTGTGTCAGGGACGGCACGAGGCCTGTCAGCTCTGACCGGCCGCACTGCAAAGCCCTCCGTGCTTCTCTACCACCTTCAGTCCCTGACAGCAATCCGCTTTGGATTAATGTCAACATGGCCGCCTTGAAATGTCCCATCTGAATGGGTGGTGGTGGCGTCATGCCTTTTTTGGGAGGGCAGGGCGAGCCATGCCGCCTAGCCAGATGCCCCTTCCAGATCTTGCCCGGGGTGACAGATACGGCAACATTCCTCCCGCCGCACAGTCCTGCCGACGACTTTGAGGCCTTATTCCCCTATAGTCATATTTGGGCATTGGACGGCCAACGTCTGCTGCATACTGACTAGCGGGGTTCCAGGTCCTCCCGACGGCAGGATGTTTTTCCTCGCATCAAGGCCATTAGCAAACCTCCGTCCTTGCTGTCGTCGTCTCATCTCCTACGCCCAGCCAAACCCACCTGTCTCCGGCATTGGCAAGGGGCCGCCTCATCCAGACCCTCCCAATCAAGCGCGGAGCTGAGCTACTGGGTGATGACACCAAGGGCCCCGGACTTCCCTTTTCCATATATGGAGAAGATTAGACAGCAGTCATGACAAATCTCTTTATACGCAGGAATTAAAGCAAGAGTGTCGCTGTCTTCGCCCCTTGCTTTTTTCCTGACATTCCGTCTGTGGAGAATAACAGGGATGGTTGTGCAGGGAACCACAATGTCACTAAGTGACAGCCACAGTCACTCTGACGAACGAATGTGTCCCTGTGGGCTACATGAGTCTGTCATCTGACCCCCCCCACCCCTGTTGTCTCTGTGCTGCATATTTTAGGGATCATACTAGGCGCTAGGACGCCTAGCCCAAACTGTCCAGATGCCCTTACTTCGTGTCGATTGTTGCTTTTTTAACTCGCGGATTTAATAGGAATTAATTGCGTAATAAAAGTGAAGGCACTCTAACTGCGTCCTCGAGGCTTCCTTGCCGGCATAATTACGCATGGTAGGGCAGTGGTGAGCAGTGGTGAGCAGTGTCGGTTTTGGTCTTGGCTCCTGCAGTGAAAAAAATGGCCTGGTCAAGGGTGAGAGCATCAGCAAGGCACTCTGCTCTAAATTAGAGGAAAATCCATCTGATGTTTTTTTGTTTTTGTCTTGTTGTCATGGGTTGAGTAGGAGAAGCATGAGTGATTCGATTTTACTTGACCACCACCAGCTCTAGTTTCTCTTTAGACTGTATTTGTTGCCCCCCCCCCCCCATCTCAAAAAAATCCCATTTTCTAAAGGCACACAGGGTTTTGGAGTCTTGTGCCAGTGGTCCATGTGTCAGCATAGTTACTTCCGCCTAAGGTCGGGGTTAGCTGAATGTGGGATAGCTTTGTGTAGGTTTGTTTCAGCCCACTGTCGGTAACTAAGGAAATGTTGTTAATCGTCTACATTCATCCCTCACAAAGAGATGGGCTTGGCAGCTCTGGCCAAACTCAGCGCATGTTCATGGCCTTCACTGTGAACCCCACTCATTTTAATCAACATATCTGAGACATTGGTTTATGAGCAAATTAGTTGATTAAGTTACTTCTGACTGACTTTTCTACAGTAGGTTTCTACTTGTGTTATGGACAGTATCTGTTGACATCACCAAGTCTCCCCTAGTGTGCTTTTGACCAAAGCTGTAACTGACACTTCTGCCTGCAGAAAGTATGTGTTTATTACTCTCTTGTGGACACCGATTACACAGCCCTTTGTTCTCCCCTGTCATTACGACAGAAGCTCTGGCCGCTTCTGCCCTGTAAATGGGAGCATTAAACAGCAATCGCCCCTAATCCCAGAGGCAGCTGCAGCCTTGCAGCTCTTCTCATGAGAGCATCGAGGTTTCGCTTCTGCAGCTTGTTGGATGGTTTTTACCAGGGAAGCCCACCCCCCTCTGCGTTAAGGTGTCAAAGCTACTCACCATTGTCTGGCATTGTGCTCGCTGTAAGTCACAAAGCAAGTATATTTATTTCTGCCTCTGTTTATTACTTATTTATTTGTGTTTACTAGCTGGTAACTTGTTTTGTGTCGTCAGCCTCTTGTGTTCTGCCGGTGCAGCCAGGAGCATCTCTGCCCTTATCCGCTCTGCCTTTGAATGAATAGTTTACATGCATAAGGTCAACTGTTAGGTTTTTTTGTTTTTACTTTCATGCAAAGATGACAGGTGAGATCACAAAGAGGGGATTAATTCACGGGGACCACTGGGGCGGCATTTAAGCCAGAAATGGCGACTGCAGGCCAAATTCGCAGGAAGTGCATTGTGGGATAGGGGCTCCTCTGTGGGATGAAAAATGATATGGAAATGAGAAGTGATATGCTGGCCGGCAATGAGAGCCCTTCATCTTCAGTGACATGTTCTACATACAATCAAATGATCAATTAAAGTAATTTAATAAATTTCACTAGTGAGACCTATAATTTTACAGACTGTAAGGCATTCTACATCCTTCAAATCTACAAAAAACAATGATTAGTTTTTACTCACCTGTGAACGACATACTTTTCAAAGATAATAATTCTGTATTTTTAATATATTTTATACTGTGTTGTTACTAGATGAAGTGCCGAATAGGGCGGCCTTTTGCCCCTCATCCTACAAAAATAGACCCTGTTGTTGTTAACATAAGCAGATTCCCGCTCCACGCAAATATAAAACCTTATGACCGGAAACATATTTAGCAGTTCATGATGGGAAATGGTGGTTCTCACCACTGCGAGACCACAGGAAACGCTGTCAGTGGCCAGGCGGGGCCGGGGAAAGCTGGGGAGTCCCTGTCGTCCGCAGCGATGTCCCGGTCGCCGAGCAGCAGGAATCTGCATCAGCAGTGTTCGCTACAGCTTAGAACCAGCAAACATGACACAACTTCCCGTCTGCACACATGGAGCTGGTTAAAGGGGGCGTCTTGCCAACAGGCCACGACATCTCGCCCTGTCTCACAAAAAATCTCGGAGCTCAGTGAACCCCTCAGAGAACATCTCGGAGAAAACGTCGGGATTTCGGAGCTTTCATTTCGAATTGTGATGCTGTTTAGAGGATGGAGGCCTCATTTCCTGTAGGGGGCGCTGCCTCTGATGGCTTATACCATGAAGCTGAAGGAGGGAATAGCGAGGAAGATGCTGGTAAGTGGTTTTTAGTTAGCTAGGCAGACAAATCCCGTTCCTGGAACCTGTCTGAGAAGCGACAGTGTAATGGAACTGGTCATGCTGTATAAACGCCACATAAACTGCATTTATTTAGTTCCTTAAAAGGGAGCCTTTATCGAAAGTGACAGGGCACAGTCTGTACCGTCGCATAATTACAGCCAAAAGATAATGACAGGCTGTAGCGTTTCACGGTGTACCCGGGGCTTGGGTTTGTGGCCCCGCGGGCGACCGGTTAACCCGCACTCTGTGACCTGAGACACCGAAACCGGCAGCCAAGACTCCACCGATAGTCTGTGGTCGTTGGGGAGAGCCGACGTCCATCCTCTAAAGCAGGCAGACTCCCTGGGCCAGCGGCCATGAGGCACTGAGGTGAAAGGAGGTCTGTTGAGATTAAGCCAAAGAAGAGTGGCAAATCCCAAATAAGGTAATGTGCGTCGTGCAGGCGAGCGGGAGGCCAGGGTGGGAGGGATGATTCATATTAACAAAGGGAGAAGCAGCAGAGTAGGGGCAAGCTGGGGTAGCGGCCGGACGGCAGCAGTGACACCGGCAGCTTTAAGCGGGGATCCGCCGAGGACCCGGAGCCGTCCTCACAGTGCCGGGATAAACAGTCTCAGGTCTCTGTTATCGATGGGGAACGGGAGGCGGCAAACGAAAAGCCGACTGGGGGGATTCCAGGCGAGGAATTTCCTCGAAGCGCCTGGATTTGCACTGGCAGCCGACCAGGGAGGAACGGTAAGAGACTCCCGCTCTGCACGATGAGAGCTGACCCCCCTCCCCTCCTCCCCCTCTCAGTCGGGGTTTGCACATGAAGCTGGCAAGTGGTGGCTGCCCAGATACAGGCCGTGAGCTGAGCGCCAGTAGGGGGCCTCGCTGCCCACGCCGGGACGGCCCCCTGCCCTGCTTCTCTTTTCCCTTCTTATCCGTTTATCCTCCTCCCAGCGTCCTCTCATCTGCTCTTGTATTCATTCACTTCGGCTCTCATTCTCTCTCTATCTCTCTCTCTGCTCCCTCACCCCCTGTCTTAATAATGGGCTCTTAGTTGAATTATTGATGTGTGGGAAGGGGTGCCAGCGGGGGAGAGGGTCTCAGTTGACTGGGAGGTGCTGATGACCGGGCTTGTGGGACTGGGGGAGGACTGGGAGAGAGGTGGGGGGTTTAGGCCGGATCCCACACACTCCCTCTCTCCCATCCGGAGCTCTTCCTTATCACCCGGTGTCCTCACGGTATCCTGCCTCTAAGGAAGCACCCCATCCTCTGCTGTGGACCCGCCTCGTTTGTCTCTCTCTGGACCCGCAGCCCACGCTCTCACACAGAACCCGGCTGGGCCACGATCGGAGCACACACAAGATGAAGTGGCCCGTCAGCTCTGGGCTGCCCTGTAATTAAACAGGACTTGTGGCTTCCAGCAGGGGGGGGTGGGGGACTAGCGTGTTAATGAGGCTGGCGTGTGTTTGTTTACCTCCCCCGTGATTTATGGACACCTTGGCGGTAGCCGCCGTCCCGCGAGCTGCTCTGTTCACATGCTATAATTACGCGGTTCTGCGTAACCTGCAATATGTTTTCAGGCGGGTTGCAACACCGAAAACACTCCAAGGTGCTCAGACGTATCTCTGCATTATATTTTCTCACAATTCAAACCGGTGATGCATTTTTCTAAGAAGGTGCTCACTTTTTATTGAAAATGATGATTACAGTGTCTACTGCCTAAAAGTCTTCTGTCAAAAAAAAAATAAACCTCAAAGGATTGCAACTCTCTGACAAAGCCAGCGGGATCAAATCTATAGACACATATCATAAGGTACCAGCATTATTATTGTTATTATTGTTATTATTGTTATTGTTATTATTATTATTATTATTATTATTATTATTATTCAAAACGTCTCCAGCCTGTTTCCATTTCTTACTATTTCACTGTAAATAATGTGACAAATTTCATTAGAGAAAATTTTTTTGCCTAAGAATTTAGGATGAGCAAAGGAACTGATGCCCAGTCTTGTGGCTTGTAAGGACTTTAATCTTTTTCTTGATAGTAATTAAATGTTAACATAGTGGATTGTTATGGAAACAGAACCACATGGATGAAGCAATATAGCTTTAATGAAAAATAACCAAAAATAAACTTTTTTATATAGTCAATAACCGTTAAAAAGTGTTTTGTAATTTTCGATGGATTGTTCTGTTTAATCTCTTTTCCCTTTTTTTTCCATTTGTTTTTTTTTTGTTAATTTTCTTTTCAATATGACTTGCTGCGCTCAGTCAGTGAAATGATATCCCTCTCTGAATTTTTAATAGCTTTCAAAGGGTAGCAGGAAATAAAGCTTAAATGAGATATTTCTGGAGGTTGGGGGTATAACAGTTAAGGAATTTAAGCAGGTTGAAAGTCTGTAGTCTGAAATGCCTCCTGGGGGTAAATTGGTCTGCAATCCTTGCGAAAATAATCTAATCTTTGCTCTTGCAAACATCCAGATGCACTAAAGCATATAAAACTCTCATTCCGTTCCATGTGAACCAATTTGGATAAAAGCACGTGGTAATAAGTAATAGTGAAAAGCGTTAGCTGTAATGAGTATCGATCTCCCGTCCTCTGATATCCCAGCGAGAAATCAAAGCCCAGCCCTTTGCAGGGCTCTTTGTCTTTGAAGGAGCACGGCGCCCACTGCACGCCCACTGCACACCCACTGCACGCCCACTGCACGCAGACGAGGAGTCTGTCTCACCTTTCCCTTCGGGCTGGTCCATCCGCTCACTGTGCCGTTTTCATTGGTTTAGCAGGAACCCTTATCTGGAGTGACTAATACAGCCACCAGTTTTGGATTTTACACATCTTCGTAGGTGGCTGTTTGGTCACATCACCCCACCCTAGAGGTTTTCATCGAAACTTTGTAGTTACGGGTTTGTAGTACCGTCTGTAATTTCCTCCTGAAAACTTTATACCCCAATTTATTCTAACCCCCCCCCCCCCCCCATTTGCTTGGACAGCCACATACTGGGTTTAATGATGTTCTAGCCCTGCATGGGACCAGGTTACACCAAACTCATTATTGGGTACAGACTGTTCTACAATGATTACGACTTGCTGTGAGTAGGACACTCGGATTGTAATGACTAATAGTTTCTGTTTTATTTCATCCATGATGCTGTTTCGTATGACTTGCATAGTTGTACATGTGTCTAAGTAGTGCAACCGAGGTGGAACTTTCACGCATGTTCAGCAATGGCAGCGTACGTATTTAGCGTTCTTAACATAGTGAGGCAATGGTTAAAAGTCCGTTATTCAAAAATAGGGGGGGAAGTAGCTTTATTTGCTTAGCTATTCCTAAAACATTTTAACCATGAGGCAATGGTTAAAAGTCCGTTATTCAAAAATAGGGGGGGAAGTAGCTATTCCTAAAACATTTCACAGGGCCAGATTATCGGAAAGGGCATGAAGGAGAGAGTGATGGATGATCTGGCCACCTGGGTTGGGAGATCTGTCCTGGAAGGCTGCGGTAAAACAGTCACCAATAAAGGTGGTTCCCTGCTTTGGATAAACGCTTAGAAATCAAAAGAATGCAAATGAATCGTCTGCATGTTTGGCATCATTATCCGAATGTGATTTGTTCGCCCATTAAAATGCTACGAGTACGTCAAACTGTAAAATCGACCCTAGTGTAATCTACTAAGTATAAGCTATATCGGTAATTAACCTCACATTTTCTTTGGGTTTGCTCCTAGAGGCTTGTGTAATTATTTATATTTTCTGTTTTTAGTGAATGTTGCCGTGCCCTAGTGCTTCCTAGCTGTTCACAGGCCTACTGCTGATTCGATGAGCCCGTCCTTACTACAGACTCCCGTCGTTATGGTGACGGAGGATCAGGGTCCCACTGGAAAACAGTCTAGCGGTAGCTTTAGGTAGCAGGTGGATTCTGACACCATGTGCTCAGAAGATGGGGGGGAACGAGGACGGAGGACTCGCGGGAGGCAGGTTGTGCTCAATGGCCGTGAGTAATTGTGGTTATAAATACATCTGATGTCTTGGTGTGTAGTAGGGATGGGTCTTCCTCATTTCCCATGAACGGGCAGAGCAGACTCACACGATTCTGGGCATTCTCACAATTTTTAATTGAATCACTGGGAGGCTGCATTGGAAATTACCTGATCGTGGGAGAAGTTAATATATCGCTCTCCAGGCTTTTCTAGTGTGACATATGAGTTTTCCTCTTCATTTTTGTTCTTGTGTGTGATGGTGAGGATTTGTCTAAAAAAAAAAACCGTGTGCCCTGTACTGCAGCTATAGTGAAACCTGTGAAGTTCAGGACACGATGGTCGTACAATAATTCTCAGTGATTATAAGTGTCCTGCTGGTTGCCGGCACGCTTCCTTTTAGCATGGGGCTCCGTTTGTAGTGATAAGGCCATAATGCTATGCACATTGCGCTTTTGGGCTGTCTGCGCTTTGTATAGTCCAGGCAAATTTGTCACAAGAGTGGAAAAATTGGGGCATTTTCCATGCAGAATTCACCCCTAAGTCCTGGAGCGTCGATATAAATGTCGTAATGGCTTTGGGATTCACGGTATATTAGGGCCTGATATTGAAGATATAATTTCCATCCTGATGCCCCTGTATGTATGTGATGGGTTGAGAAATGACCAAAGTGGGTGAGCTTCGAAAACATTAGTGAGCGCTGCCTTTCGGACAAAGTGGTACATTTACTGTAATGTGTATTGATCCTCTGCTGGGTTGAAATCTTCTAATAACCCAGCGGAAAAGTAATAAGATATCTTAACATGTCTCATTACTGGAAATGTCTCTTCAGCTGTGAGGCCTTTTAAAGTGGGGGTATGCTTGGGGGGGTGGGGGGAAAGGATGGTTTGTCAGGAGCGCACCGCCAACAAATGGCCACGTCATGGGGTCAGAATGGCGTCCGGGCTGTGGCTCTTGCTCCCAAGTCAGGCGGCACTGGGTAGCTCATGTCGATGGAATATGAAGCATTTGGAAACCCTAGCCGACCGTCCTGGGGTGGGGGGGGTACGCAGTTCTGGAATATCTGGAGAGTTCTAACGGGAAGGGGTGATGGAGGTGGAGTCAGAAGCTTGTAAACATGTTGTCCTTTGACTCGCCCTGCACGTTTAGAAGCGTGTAAAGATGTGTGTGTAGATGTGTGTGTAGATGTGTGTGTAGATGTGTGTGTAGATGTATGTGTAGATGTATGTGTAGATGTGTGTGTAGATGTATGTGTAGATGTGTGTGTAGATGTGTATGTAGATGTATGCGTAGATGTATGTGTAGATGTGTGTGTAGATGTGGCCAGCCTCTCACCCATCCTAAGGCCTCCTCCTTCCCCGGGGGCCGCTGTGAACACGCGTCTTATGAAGGCATCGGCGCGCTCCGTTTCCGAGCCTCATCTGTGTGGGATCGGTGACGATGGCTCACGGGGAAGACTCGGTGTCAGTATTCTGCATGCCCGACTGCAGGTGACAGCAATACACCCCAGGGAAGATTTCTATTCAGAAGGAAGAACAATGGGTCTGAGGCTCAGGCTGTAGGTGTCTGGCACACAATTCGCAGCTGACATATCTGCCATTCCTCAGCTAGCTGCGGAGATACCGTGAAGGTATCATTACCCATCCACCGGGGTGCCTTAAACCCCCTAAAGGGGTGCACTGACCCTTGGGTGGGGTTCTCAGAGTCCCAGGAGCAGAAGCTGAGTGGATGGGGCTAGTCCACCCCCCCCCCAACTTCCTAACCCCTTACCTGAGCTTGCCTTCCCGTGAGCTAACTTTTTCACCCTTGACTTCAGGGTTGTGGCAGCACCAGCTGACACCCTACTTAGGGTGGGGGGGGGGGGGGGTTGGTAGAGAAGTAGCTAGCTTTTGTTGTAGTTTATCCTACACCCCCACCACATATTTCTCGCTCCTCTCCCCTTCTGTTGGGGTTGCCCGTTATAAAAGTCACACCCCTGCCTTGTTAAGCATTCGCATGGCCCCCGAATGTTCAATAAAAGGTAATAAAACTCAGAGGGGGGCAGCAGTATCGCGCTTTTACTGAACCACGAGGCCTCCCTTCCCTTGAGGGAAATGATGGGTGATGATAATTACAAGATGGAAGGCAATGTTGGAGTATTCGCCTTGACAGAGGTAATAATATCGCAGTAATGACAGAATCTCCAAGCCCAGGGGTCTTCGTATCACAAACCAGGCGATGCTGAGGCCCTTTAACAGAGTTCACCTGCTTCTGGGCGGCGTTGTCCTGCGTCGGAGCTCAACGAGACTGCTCTGTCACATGACACCCTCGCCAACATGATTCACACCCCCCCCCCCCCCATTAGGAACAAAATGTATTTATGTTACCAATACGTTTTTATGGGAAACAAATTAAACATTTTTATGTGAACCATAGAAGGCCTTCACTGTTGATTGTGAAGGAAATCAATGCAACGACAGGAAGTGACATCACTTATCCAGACCCAATATTGCAAGAACCTTTGGTAATATTTAACTCAGATGAAGTAATAATATAGGAATGTCAGCAGTGAATACAGTCAGTCCTGTGTAATGCAATTACTCATGGGACTGTAATTTTTAGCAGCATAACATCACTGTTGGTGTTATACATTTTCAGCGCTACGCTATTGGCAATATTTAGCTGAAGGCACTGTTTTGAGCATGGTGGCCTGCTAGCAGAAAATCACCATGAAGTCTTCAGGATGGAGGGTGTGACATTGCCTGTAGTGTTTCAGGGGTTAATTTATTCAAAGCTGATGGCACTGATACAGGAAATTGCAAACCCAGAGGCGTGTGATTCTTTTCACCTGTTCAGATAATGCAATCGTTCACGTCGCTCCCCCCCCCCCTCCCCCCAACCTTCCCCATCAGTTGTTCACCTCAAACACTGTGGCAAGGTCACTCACTCGCAAGATGGCCTATTTTGGAGTTTATGAAATTAGCTGCAGAAATCAGTGTCATTATGTGTCAGCAGCATTTTTTGGACAGGGGGACATTCTTTTGCTCCTGCTTTTGCTCTCCGAATCTGAGATTGGGAGAAGAAAAACACAGACACACACACACACACACATGCATGTGTGGAAGACCTGCCACCTCAGTGCCCAAGAGTCCTGTCTGGCGGGTGACGGCCGTGTCAGATGCTGGCATAGATAAATGCCCCACCACCGGGGGGGTGGGGGGTGGGAGAAACAGGATGTCCTCCCCTCCCCCCCACCAACCCCCATCCCAGGCCATGGTGTGCAGTCCTGGCCCACCCTCACTGCCGTCTGTGTCTCTCCCCCAGGCTGCAGGAGACGGGAGTGTGAGAGGAACGGAGGTCTCAGCCCAGCCACAAGGAGCCTGTAATAAGGAGATAAGGAGCTGAAGATCAGCAGGAACTCTGAGGGCCGCCTGAACCTCTCTACCCCGTAAGTCACCCCGGTATCGGTCACCTCTGTGTGTACATGTCTGACAGAGAGCTACAGAAAGAGCTCTGCCATAGCTAGAATTTTGTGTGTTACTGCGATTGGCTAAAATCCGCTTTGGCACGGGGATATGGGCGGAGCATGATGAAGCGGCATGGTCACATGATGTCATGTGTCTCTTACGAACATAAATACTTTATTACAGACAGATAATGAAGTATTGCCCTGAAGTATCGTTCTGCTGTTGGGCTAAGAGGTGTCGATGCTGTGAAGCATGCTGCGACTTTTCCCATTTAGCAAACACGATGTTCTCCTTTCCTGGCGCGATCTTCTCTCTGTCAGTAGTCTGGTGAGTAGCCTGTGTTTTCACTGTGCTACGGTGCACATTCAGCCAGTCCTTTCATGTCAGAGTAGAAGATGTTAGTTAAAATTAGAAAACATTAACATACAGTGAAGTCTGATAATTACTCGCATTGCCATCCCTTGGAGTGTGTAAATCAGGACTCTGCCGGCCCGTGGAGGACGGGCTCCCCCTTTGAGTCTGGTTCCTCCCGAGGTTTCTTCCTACTGGGGAGTTTTTCCTTGCCACTGTTGCCTCTGGCTTGCTCTCTGGGGGCTTTGGGTAGCGCTTTGAGACAGTGTAATGTTGTGAAAATACAAATAAAGCTGAACTGAAACTGAACTGAATTGACAAACATTGGCTTTTACCTGCATAACCAGACACATTTCCCTATCCAGAGTAAATCCTACAGACGCACTGTGTACTGTAACAGCTGATTTTAAAATCACACCTAACCTTCCACTGTCTTAAGAGTAAAACGGACGCAGCCCTGCAAACGCGTGTGTAGCAGAGTGCCTACTGTTAATCCATTCTTTTAGATTTTTAAGTAACATCCCTCACACGTTAATCGCTGGGCCTCCCCTCTATCTTTCAGGGTTCTAACATTTTTATGAACTTACGTGTTCGGAGTAGCTAAAAAGGAGGAAATCCAACGTGAGAGTGTTTACTGCAAAAACAACATGTGCATCATAAGGCAGATTCCTGCAATAATAGCTTGCATGATACATAAAATGATGCCCCTTTCAGTTCTGTTTATGGTCAGTTCCCATGTTGTTGGAAGTCAGTGGGACCCTTCTGATTTGGTGACTCAGCTGTTGATGAAAGAAAAATTAAATTGTGGAACATTGAAGATCAACTCATCGGGATGCAGAGGAGTTCTGACAATCATTTCTGCCATTTTAAAGGGGACAGAGGCTGATAATAGCCGTTTTGAAGCTGACACACAAAAATCTCCCCCTTGGCTCAAGAGGCGTCACGCTTTCCATCGAAAATAAAGTGTATGATGAGGCACTGTTTTCAGGCAAGCCCAAGTGTCAAGCTAACAGTAATTAAATACTCCTTTTATAGACTTGAACCTTTTCTTCAAAGCAGACCTAAGACTAGTGGGCAGCCATCCTGTTTGTGACACATTTATTTTTTGAATTTGTGCTTTCAGCCGTAGAGGGAGCAAAGAAAATAGTGCAGAGATGAGGTTAAGGGGACCTCCGTACACGTTTCTGAAGCGCTAACAAAGACACTCTTTGTTGTCTATAACACAGTGAGCACAGCCAGCTTTATGCAATATTAGATTGCATTAGCAGTAACAGGTAATGTATTGGTTTTGGGCTTGTTGCAAAACGACTGCTATTTCAAGTGTCAGGAGGGCTATTGTCTAACATTAGATTGGTCCTGGTCAAGTGTAGGGGTTTTATTACCTGTATCGTTGGTGAATGATGACGATATAGGCATCAATGAAAGGAAAAAGTTGGTTTTGATGTTGGGGATTGATTAGCAATAGGCCTGTATAAGTGTTGGGGTAGAGATCAGATTAGCCAATGGGATGGAAGAGACAGGGATCCTGTTCCATTTGCATACCTCCTGTGTAGGGCTACTGTGTTCCATAAAAAAATCTGGTTATATTTGTCTGTATTAATGAGGCAGGTGTGAGGATAATGAATATTCAAAGACTGCTGAATCAGGACGGGTCTCTAACCAGCGAATCAGATTTTTCTTACCATTGGATGGCATTGACGTGGCCCTATTAATATCAAAGACTGTTTTCTTGTGGGATTTCACGTGTCCCACGTCAACGCGCTAGTTTCCTAATGTCGGCCATCCACTGTACATTTCAGTTAAAGTCTTAGATTATAATTCACCATTTTGGCCCACTTGTGCTGTTAGGAGCAAACTCTGAGGTTAATGTGATGCAAGATGATGTGTAGGTCTAAAACCTCCTCCGTTTGGGTTCATTAGATTATTTATAGATCCATATACTGGCTGTTTTCTGAGTTTTTATACATCTGACGACTTTATAGATGAATGTTCTTGGCAGTCACGTTGAGTGAGTGCATGCCTATTAACTGTTCTTTCTGCCTTTGCGTAGGTCTATCTTATTCATACGTCTTCATTTGCTCTTATATGTTGCCTTTGACCACTGACAGCTGTGATGTGGTACTAGCACTGAGACATCAGTCATTTTGCGATAGCTCTTAATGCATGTGCATTATGCTGCATTACACAAAGTACTTTGGTAAAGATGTTTTAGGGCAATTTGTAGAGTGTTTTCCATGTGAGAAACGGTCTCTTGGTGTGTGACAGTGTTTTAGTTTAAGGGTTGGGCTGTAGCTATTCAATATTCACAAAGCAGCATATTAAATGTTGTTTTTCCTCCAGTTTTTTAAACTGACGTCATGCGCTGCCTGGGTCGTACTGTATTTTCAACTTTGGGGACCCACAGTCTGTCCACGTTTTTGTTCTCTCCCAGCTCCCTGCCAGACAGTCCACATTTTTGCTTCCGTGGAGGGAGCAAAAACACGGACTGTCTGTGGATCCCCAAGGAACGGATTGGGAAACACTGGCCTATTGACATTCTGTAGGTGTCGACTGGACATAAGCCGTCCCAAACACCTCTGCCAGCTCTCTGCGAACATTCAGATGGGCTTTATTTGATGGGGCAGGGCTAGATGACGGTCAGGGTTAGACGTATGCGGCGGCTGTTATACGGTCTTCAATGATGTAAGTTGATGTAATGTGAGGTGAAAGACCCAGCAGATTTAATACCTTCAGGGCGTGTACAGTGGAAGCTAAATAATCATTGCAATTTTGCAAAACTTCACCGGCACTATTTGAATACATGTATAAATGATACGTGGCTTATAAAATCTTTATGTAGGTCTTCATAGCAAGGTTTAGTCTTCAGCTTGGTCTTTTACGCTGGGGTGGGGGGCATAGATTACAGCAGAGTCAAGGGGGCAAAGTTTGTGGTGCTGATCCGTTCCACCTGTCCATCATTCTCCACCACGTGTATAAACTCATGTTTTGTTCTGTATTTCGGTTAAACCCTGAAAATCCCCCCATCTGCACCCAGTTGTCTTTTTCTTGTCCCAGCTAAAATGGCTCTTTCAATTTCTTGCGGTTTATCTGCCATCAGTTCTGCCCCTAACCTGATCCCCGCCACCTATGAAAAGGGACCGAACTCCCTTAAAATAAAGGTCCCTTTCCCTGCCCTCCCTCACCTTCCCCATCCCACCCCAAGACCCCCTCCTTCCTTTCTTTTGGAAGAATGGCTTTATTTGACAGATCTATGTAAATGAAGCAAGGCAGTTATTCTTTAATGCACCGCTGTGTTTTTGAAACATGCCATCCATTTTCAGAAGAGGAGTGCGCAGGACGAGCTCCAAGATTAAATCAACTAAGCAAGTGGATGCATTGGGCGCTGGCAGAATCCTTCCCATAATTCAGTTTTAGAGTTCGCTCCACATTCATCTTCCACCCGTCTTGTTCGGGGTCGGGGTGGGGGGTGAGAGGCTATAGCAGGGAGCTCAGGGTATAGTTACAAGGCTGGGGTGCACTCTGGCTGGGATGCCAGGGACTGGGGGATTCATGAAGTACTTTCTCAAGCTTAATGATGAATTTGTTCATTAAAACTGAGTTTAAGTTTAGCACAGACTCAATTGCTGCCAGCATCGAAACGCAGGTTGGCACATTAAAGAAGGATTTCCATGTACTCTTTGACAGGGCCACTCATGAGGGTGACCAAGGTTAACGAGTGATTCTTAAGCTACCAGACGCATTGCACACAGAGTGCCAGTATATACACATACATCTTCTTTCTCTGCACAAGGGTTGCATGGCGACAGCTTACAGCCTATACAGGATAAGGCAGTTCACGTTGTTAATCACGTTTATAGTGCATAGCAGCTCTCACGTCTACACGGCCGAAGTTTGAATGTGCTGTGTTTGAAGATTAAGGGTGTTAAAGATTCCTGCAGTGGGGGTGTTTTGTAAATTCAGTAAATATAAGTCTTATAATGACACATATTCAGGATGCAGTTCTGAACAGACCCGCTGTTAATGGGTCTTTGTTCTGTGGTCCATAATGCTATGGAGTGGCGCGGGCACTAATTCTCCCTGCTATATGTGCTTTTTTTTGCTCTTGAGATCTTCATTCCCAGTGGTTCCCCTAATTGGCTTAATAATGTAATTAATTAGATGACTTAATTACTCTTGCTCCAGGCTTGAAAGCTGACTGTAATTATAGCGGTAGCTAGCTCTGTGCCATCTTGACAGACTAGAATTTCTTGTCTTCAAAATGATGACAATCTGACATGGGGGGGCGGGGGGGGGAATGGAGAAATTAGGCTTTGGGTTCAAAGCTGTCCGCAAAAGTGCCAGCAAAATTATCTTTTCGAATTAGACATGTGATCTCAGGGAGTATCTTTTTCTGTCCCCATAAAGAGATGCTCCAGATTAGTATTCCTTAAAATGACACCTCACATGGAAAGCAGCGTTGCAGAGTGTGTGCTCTGGGTAAGTCATTATACATTTCCAGTTGAGATAATGTCTCTGGGTTCGGTTTGACCATTTGATTAAATCAAGAAGTTGGATGTCGTGCTGGGTGCACTATTGGGGGCTACATGCATCTCTGTAATTAGCTGTGCCTATATGTACGCCCCCCCCCCCA